AAATGGTAACATAGTGATGAAAACAGTAATAACAACATAATTATCAATATTAGCTTCTCTAATAGCGAGAGTAAGAATGATAATAAGATTGCTAACAATAAGGATAAATCAACCATTTTTTAAGTTATTTATGAAACATTCGAAATGAATTGTTCTCTTCACTACAATCTGTTGACTGAACTCACTGTTATAATTGACATCGCTGCTTATTATTCAGCGATCAGGTGAAAGGAGCAATTTTGTTTTGGATTTTTTTTGGAATGAAAAGAATTTTGAAAACATTTCATTTAAAAAACAACAAATTTCCTCGTTGACATAACTGTAGGAATGAAAACATCGAAGAGTTCACATTATTTTTTACATTCGTAACGAGAATATCAAATTTGTTAGGGAACGAGAAGTCCTCTTATTGTTGGATTTTTTGAAGATCAATTATAAATATTGATGAACAAACGCCTGCCCATACCACTGAACATATGTACCTTTGTACTGTAATTGTAAAGAATTTCAATGTTTTTCCGTTCTCGACGGAGATTAACCAAACAACCAAAAAATATTCATTCTTCTGTTTACAATAAGTCGATTGTCCATTAAACTTTGCAAAAAAATGAGACAAACAAATGAAAGGAGAGGAACGTTTGAGTTTGAACATTGTTGGATTGGTTATTGGAATGTTTCTTAGTACACAAATAAGAACAGAACAATGGATGAGGAGAAGTATGCAGTTGAATCGTGAAGTTATCAGTGAGTTGTTATTGTGATCGATATGGTAATTGCAAAAAATTTTGTTGAAATTTTAGAAATGCGAATTGATGAAATTAAATGTAGACATCGTATGATATCACACATTTTTAGAATTAAACACATTTAATCAGAAAACATACGAGTTTATGCTTGTCTCTTATCACCGATATCACAAGTATCACATTCTTTCTTCCTTTAGAGATTTCTTTCCACACAGCTAACGATAATAGCATTGGAAATCATCTATCGTCGTGAAATTCTAACTTCGATTGAAATATTTTTCATGAAATTGAAAACTTCATGATATTAATCTGATTTGGTGAGCACAGAGGTTTTCGACTACTCTTCTATACTGCACAATGATATCAAAATTGAATAACGCCGAATATTGCTCTTTTCTGCATGAAGATTCACTGCGTACTGAATACTGAGTGAGGAATACAATCAAATATATTTCGAGAACAAATCAGTTGAAAATTTGATAATTGCAAGGCTATCAACTATATATCCAGCAGTTTTATCGACATGATCATATGCTGTCGAACGTGACTCATGTACAGATCATTTCATTCGATAGTATGGATAAAATCTGAGTTATACCAATAGCTGCAAATATCCTTAGTACCAAATACTTCCAGATCTTCATATAATATATCCCCGACATATAATATACATCTCAACCAGTGAAAACAACTGAAAATGGGCGTCGAAGCATTTTTTTTTGTAATCGTCTTAAATAAATATACCATAAAAGAAGAATCGATCGACTGTACTGCTGAGACTGTACGAGATTGTATCCATCCACTCACATTTGAGGGTGTATCTGTAATTGAAGTCGAATATCTCTTTGCATCATTTCGCATCGTTACGTCGTCGCTCGAACCGCTCAAAATCTCGAAAAAAGCGTTCGCGACTAGTCGAGCCATTGGTCAACTGCTGCCAGCTGCGTTTACGGTGTTTATTTTTGTGCTCTGCATCTCGATGACTTAAACCTTTTTTTGAGTCACCCATCTCTTTAACCAACCACAAGCAACTATTCACCTAACTTTTCCAGCATATATAAGCTGGACAAACTGTCAGGTAGCATACCAAACAGTGCATCATCTCCTCTGATTAGTAGCTTCTGCTTCCTGCGATTCAGCGATCTAGCGACGACTTGGCGACATATTGAAGAATCATCCATCCACTCGTTTGCTGTGATTCAACTTCGACCCCCAATTAGGAACACGTTATCAACAATATGGCATATTTCTCGTTGTTATCATTCCTAATCACTGTTCTATTCGCTCAATTGTCTTATCAATATGTTATCAAGGACTCTTTGGTGAGTGTTGATCGCTTGATGGATCTTTATTTGATATTATCTGTGAATTTGATGTGCTGAGTGAATGGTGATCTTACAATTAGGTGCGTGTCCTCAAATCGCACGTTTGACGAAATCAGCACATACAATCCCTATTGTTCAACGACATATATGCAACTATACTTTAAATAGTGTGTAGCTATGAGGCTAATTTTAGGTTTTTGAACTCAGTGGAGAATTCTCGACTGGTAGCAATTTTGAGGAGTTTTCGAAAACTGGATTAGAGAACCGAAACTCCGGGAATTTCGGATTTGTTGCGATTTCCAGGGTTCCAAATCTAAGGCTTTTTTTCGATAGTCAGAGTATTTTTCCGTATAGTCTTGTTCAGCTTAATCATTTCAATCACCTCCATACGATGGTTTTGAAACGATTCGTGAGCAGTCAAAAAAACTCCATTTTCTGACAGTGCAGGAAGGGGTCATTAACGAATCTTGATGGAAGCTTCACAAAAATTTTGTTTTGCTCGAGTTCGCACAATATTCTGGTACCATTCGATTCTCAATAATTTACCAAATTCAATGGCTGGCGCAGTTACTTACCCGTCGGCAACCATACAGTTTCCTAAGTGGTATCATACCACACTAGCTCAATGCCCCGAATCAAAAATATGGGCAATATTATGCTGAGGAACCCAATGAATACAAGCAAATCTAAGCCATTGCATCAAATAATGGCCATAATCAGCGATGTATTGAATTAATATTTTTGCTCTTCGTCACCTCAAAATTGATACCATTTTTGAAGTGTTCTGTAAATACGACCTCACTTAATCCCGTTTACATTCACAAACGGTTGCATTATAATAACTCAACGATCACATCTGAACGCTGCATTACATTATATTCTACCTATGTCAACAATATTTCCAGACTTATTGTATAATTCATCTTACCTCATTCAATCTCTCAATTAAATTCGCATGTCCTCTATCTCATTTCCAATGAATAATCCCAACCACGATGACATCGCCATCGATCTACCCGTCATATCGTCTGTCACCTTGTATCCCAGTCAAAACTCTCTCTCGGTCACGATCATATAATAGTAATCGTAATAATAACAACAATAACAATAATAGTAAAGCAATAATCATAATAAATAATAACATCTGTATACAAAGAATATCGTCGAACGTCCATATAAAGTGTCCATTCCTCCACTTATACGTTTGTTTGCAATATTATTTATTCAAATTATGAATGAATCAGCGTTTGGCTAGTGAACTAATAGTTAGTATTGAAATTACCGATGTTACTGATTCATTATTCACCAACAAACAGACTAACATCATTTGCATAAATAAATTTTCTGGCAATGAATAATACACTTGAGTATGCCTGGACTTTGCGATAACCGTTCCAGAATTTCAGTTGATATCAACAAATAGTTAAGTGCGTCGTCTACAAGATACGTCGAAATTCAAAAGTCATTCAGCTCTATCTTAATTCAGCAGATTTAATAAGATTGAGTCAATTGATCAACTGATGGATTGAATTTGAGACCATGAAAACCCTTACATCTTAAATTAGACAACCTTAGATCAAATTTGATGGGATTGGTATCAGTTGATTATCAGGATTCAAAATCATAACTTAAAACATTAAATAATAGAGAATATTCTTAAACATGATACAGATTCAGATGTCTCAGATGAATCATTTGATGTGTTCAAACGATAAGTTTACTGAATTTCAGCAATTCACACAACCTTCAAAATCTGACAGTCAAATTGAACGCAGAGTAAAACGTCAACAATGTGGCTGCAGCAATCAGTCACCATCATGTATGTGTGCTCAAGTAAGTTTCGGAGTTTCAGCTTTAGACTGAGACACATTCCTCAGAAAAACCTCTTTTCAGTCAAAGAACTTGCCAATAACTAGAGCATCTTCCAACTGAGTAAGTAGGTACTTATCATAGGCAAACTCTCATAAACGGCTCATACAAGTCATTCCAATCTATCGTAACTCAACAAATTCAATAAGATGAAATTAATTGATTTACCGATGAATTGAATTTGATCTATGAATTAGAATGCAGTATGCCAAATAAGATAGTTGTAAACTTTCATTGCCGAATGCCAACCTCAAACTTCTACTCTCAATTCCAGTTACCTCAACTGTGCAGATGCAATCCGACCATGCCATGTCCATGCGCCGGTCCACAATCTGACCCACTAGCGCAATGTATGCCGATATGTCAGCGTTCATGCTCAAGTTCATGTCTACAGCAAAATCTACCCTTAGAAGAGTTGGTTTACCACTTATTATTATTTTCTCATAGTATAATAAGTTTCATTATGACAGTTATTCAGTAGCATAACTGAATTTCAATGCACTAATATAAACCTTCACCTGTTAATTCATACTTCAGTAATATATATTATCATTTGGTGATATTTACTCAATAGATTGATTGCCTACTTTCATTCAGATGTCAATCAACATGTGCCATTACATGCCAACAAGCTTGTTCGAAGTATCAACGGCTCAGTGGTCTTATCAATGGCCAAGCGTCTAATGTGGTAAGTAATATCCGTCAACTTCATGCTAAGTCCCTTCCAATTGATTTTAAGATTTCATATCGAGAATGTTAAGGTGAATTAAGGATAATCAAGAAATCTTCCAATCGATCTTAAGATTTTATCTCCAACAATATTCGTGTTCATTAATGATAGTCAAGAAACAAAGAAGGATCTCTGGCTGAGATGATTTGAGAATTAAATAGCAAATAATTTGCAGCAAGCACTCCAGTCGCGATCTGTTCAATCTATTTGTGCCCCAAAATGTCAACAAACTTGTCTAGCAGTTTGTTTCGGACGTAATTACCCTCGTGCCAAATGCGAACAGACTTGTCAACGCACGTGTGCTGAGGTCGGTTGACACTAAATGACATCCGCACAACATATTCTATTGATATCATACTAAATCATCTTGATTATATTAGTTTATTAAATCCTCAAAGAATTACCATCTCTCTGATACTTTTTATTTTTCATACATCAATATCAATACCTATGAATGCATCAATCTGTAATGATGAGCAGTATCATATTTGCTGCTAATATCTCTCGGGTACCAAATACAATTTCAGGTTTGCTCTAAACAACCTAATTTGGTTCTGTCGGCATCTGAAGCTGAAGTCTTCAGTGGTGCTCCTCAAGTGTCTCAAGCTAGCCCACCGATCCAAGAGTCTCTGATCGCTCCACAAAAACAATGCGTTCCAGCGTGCATGCCAGCTTGTCTTCCTGAATGTACTGGTGAAATCGAACGGCGCTCAACCGTTATAACTGAAAATCCTCCAGTACTTTCAGTGTCCGGTCAGCTAACTTCGGCAAGTGCTGATTCAGCCCAAAACCAACGATGCGTTGACCAATGTTTCAGGTAAACCTCAAACCCTACTTCTCATACTTGATCAATTTCTTTGTGCTCGTTTGAAGATCATACTGACCAAATGTTGTGATTAGCTGATAGTTGTTGATCGACATAGAAGTCAAATATGAGTTCTCGTACTGATTTGCAGAGATAGGCGATACATTGTATTCGCTTAGCTATAAGCTATACATTAGGAAGTTTAGTTCTAACATTGAAATTAAGTATTTTGTTAATAGTGTATGCAATTTTCTGATAGTGGAGAATCTTTTCTATTCAATGATATCAAAAAATCATCGGATTTTAAGCGAAACGAGCCTTCTTGCGGCATGAACATAATATTCCCTATCTGATAGTTTATTCATTCTCAGTATCTGTATAATCCATCAATGAATTGTTCAGTTGTTCTACTGATATGTGATTTCAGTACATGCATTGACGTTTGCGTGCAAGCTCGACAGCCCTTGCACGGTTGCCTGAGTGGATGTTCCGCGGAATGTGGTAATAAATGTGGAGTGCAACTATCTGGCTCGTCACCCCAACAACAAATCACACGACCTGAGGTCATATTCCAAATGCCCGAAGTCGGCCAGCTTGAACCTCGTCAACAAATCCCAGCCGTTCAACAAACTCAATACCAATATCAGCCTGAAGTCACAC